GAAATCAATCTGATAATATCACATCTTTTCTCTTCTGTTTGCACATATGAGATGATGAAAATAGAACAAAAAACATTTAAACAAATCTAAGCTACTGTTGGAGTTTCTTTTGATCTGTGTATCAGTCCTCATTTTAAGTACATTACCCACTATTTCCATTTCTTTTCTATAACAAGACAGAAACAGCTTAACTTAAATCAACAGTCCCTCCTTAAATAAACAGCAAAATTGACTGTAACATCAGTGGTCAGAAACACACAACTACAGCTGAGCTCCATCTTCCAAAGCCAAATGTATCCCTGCTCAATGAGAAGATAATTCATTCTCTCCATCTCAAATCTTCAAATGCATATCCTTAACCCACATTTCTTTCAACTCTTACCCAAGTTGGCACTCACAGAACATATTCATTTTAATCTTCTTTTTTTTCCCTATCAACTGTGCAGCTGATGTATGGACTGCTGCAGGATCTTATTTAAGCACGTAATCACACAAATGGTTCGCAACTGAAAACACACTGATTTTCATAATGCTACCATCATTAAACGTGATCTATTAATTTTTATGCTGCTACCTCTTAGATTTGCTTATCTTGAATCTCCCATTTCAGATGCTTTAGATTTATTAACAAGTGGGAACATTCTTGCATACTGCACTCTCTCTTCCAGAGCGTTTTAGAAGCCATGTTACAGATCGCACAAATGCAAAAAAATAGAAATAAAATTTAATAAAAAACATCAAATGAAAAGATAACAACAAAAGCGGGAAGAAGAGCAAATGGTTTAATGGCTTTTCCATTCTGCCTCTTTTTTTCTTCAACAGAGCAAGTATATTTTCCCCAAGTTTCTTCATTTCTTTTACTCAGTCACCTTTCTCCAAATTCATAATGCCTTTCTTATTCTTGTTGCTAGTTTCTCACGTGATTTATCTCTTGTGATTTTTAGGCTGGGAATAGGGAATAGTATTTCCATCTTTTGGAAGTGCTGTGTGTTTAGTAGGAACAGAAACATGGTCAGCACAGAAACAAACCTGATCTTTCATATGAGATAATTAGCAATTTACCGATCACTAGCTGAAGGCCACTTAGCTGTTACCTTCAAAGTTAGTTTGTTGTTTATTCCAACGTCATCATCAGGGGGACCAAACAGGCAAAACATCTTTCTAAAGCTCACAGCCTCCACAAATTATACCAAACATCTATTTTAATAGATAATTGGAACATCTAAGGGTTTCTGTTTTGTTTTTATAATGGGATGTACTTTAATTTGAATATCTGCAAAAAAACAACAACAAAACAAAACAAAATTAACAAACCTTTTGAAGCTTTAAAAGCTAACACTATTCCTATTCAACTAGGAGACTTTATTATTCACTGTCTCCCTCTCAAACTTTTAAATACTCATACACATCTATTACAATGCCAGAAGTTTATTGGCTTGGTATGGAATAAGCTTTTAGCCTCAGAGCTACAGACCGCCTCTGTTCTCCGCACAGCATCTGGCAACATTCTCCTGATAAATCTTCCTCTTCTATCTTGTTGTCAGAAGGCACGCAATTTGCAGCGACGAAGAACATATGGCATGATTTGTGTTGATAATTCTGTGTTTGAAAAGTTCTGACAGCAGGCTTAGACGACACTGTTCCTTGTGTCTCACTGGAAATGAAGTACCAATGATAAATAAAGATTTCTAGTTTTACTGGAAAGCTGAGTAGGATTTCCATGAAATAAGGACATGGAATTTGGAATCAGTTTTAAAAAGCAAAAAACAAAAGGACTATTTCTGTTTAGGTAACAGTTCCAGGTCCGGATTAAGGCAATTCCACATGTTGATATTGAGGTTATGGGAAGACCTGCCCATGCAACATTATCCAGGTTATTTATTCTTTCAAATTAGTTACAGATAAAATGCAACCTCAGACAAACTAAGCTGATGAAGAAGACATAAATAATTGAAAAAATTCTAACCTGATGATTCTAGTTTTATTTGGAAATATGCCATGACCTTCGTTTCTAAGATTGCATACCTTTTTGGTTTCCAGCATCACAGAGGTAAATCTAACACCTAAAGACTGTGAAGGCTATTTCTGATTCATCCTATTAGCAGTCCCTGGGTGGGCTTTCCTTGTTTTTGTTTGGCAGGAACTTTGCAATACATATCACAGTTGTGCTCAAAACGAGGAAAACAGCTTTTCTTGCTTTCATTTACGGATCTTGCATTCCTTTTTTCAAGCTTGGGCTGCTAGATGATCTCCCTATATTGTGTGTATATCATTCCTTCTAATATTTTAGACATATTAATGGTAATCTAACTTATGGTGTTGTATTTGCTATCCATTAAATTTGTCTCTGCAATGGCTGTCACTGCTGGTTCATCAGCAAAACTGTGGCAAAATTGTGCCAGCCCCATTTAATATCTTTATTGAAGATCTGGATGAAGGGATTGAGTGCACCTAAGATGAGAGGAAGTGTTGATCTGCCTGAGAGTAGAAAGGCTCTATAAAAAGAACTGGATAAGATAGGTCAATGGGCTAAGGCCAATTGTGTGAGCTTTACGTGACCAAGTGCTGGGTCTTGCATACTGGTCAAAACAAACCCATGTTAGAAGCTTGGGGAATGATGGCTGGAAAACTGCACAGGGAAAAGGATCTGGGGGTGCTAGTTGACAGCTGGCTGAACGTGAGCCAGCAGTGCGCCCAGGTGGACAAGAAGACCAATGGCATTCTGGCTTGTATCTCAAACAGTGTAGTCAGCAGGAGCAGAGTGGTGACTGTCCCTCTGTACGTGAGCACATCTTGAATACTGCATTCAGTTTTGGGCCACTCACTACAAGAAAGACATTGAGGCCCTGGAGCATGTCCAGAGTAAGACAATGAAGCTGGTGAAGGATCTGGAGAACAAGCCTTATGGGGAGCAGCTGAGGGAACTGGGATTGCACAGTCTGGAGAAGAGGAGGCTCAGGGGAGACCATGTTTGTCTCAACAACTACATGAAAGGAGGCTGTGGTGAGGTGAGGGTTGGCCTCTTCTCCAAGATAACAGCAATAGGATGAGAGATGGCCTTAAGTTGTTCTAGGGGATGTTCAGGGTAGATATTAGGAAAAATTTCATATCTGAAACAGTGGTTATACATTGGAATAGACTGCCCAGGGAATTGGTTGAGTCAGCACCCCTGGAGGTGTTCAAGAAACGTGAAGATGTGGCACTGAGAAATGTGGTTAGTAGACATGGTGGTGATGGATTGATGGTTGGACTAGATTACCTTAATGGTCTTTTCCAATCTTGATGATTCTATGATTCTGTAAAACAAAAATCCCTCTAACTAACCACTTTTTCAAAATTTTATACTCATAATAAAATTCGACCTTAAGCTACCACTACATTAAGCAGAAGAAGAAAAACAGAGTCAAATTCTGCCGGTTTTGTAGTCCACTTGGGGAGTGCAGCTAGGGTAAGGGCCCCATGGCACAGAGGGACATGCTGTGCCAAGACCACGTGTATCTGGATATCCATTTACCTCCAGAGCTTCCAACCCAATCCTCCAGAACAAAACAGCAGATGCATTCAAACTGTTCTAAATACCATCAAGAAAGTATTTGGCAAAAGAAGATTACTGACAGTTGAGAAGAACACATTCATCCTCTCCAACATGATGGCTGCCAGCAAGGGCACTGAGGCTCAGCTGAAAAAAGTTATTGTAGTCACTTTGGAAATTAAAATCACAGTGTCAACAATACTGTTAGTTGCTACTTCAATCAGTTCTTCTTGGCAGTACTACTGGGACAGATGAATATATCTCAAGGGGGATATTTGTGGTAGAAGATGAAGTACAAGAGATCCCTGTCCAGATCCAGAAAAGTCTTAAAGACAGATACGTCCTACATGCAACTGGACTAGCCAAATCCTGCAGCCCTTGAGGAAATACAAACCTTTAAAATTTGTCGTCCCATTCCTTATGAAAATGCTCGGATGTCTGGTGGATGGTACATTTAGTTTAGCAAAAAGTCTGGAACTGACTCCAGTTACAAACATAATATACTGATATTTACACATCTCAAATCAATTAGGAGAAGGCAAAAATGCAACTCAGTGAAAAGAATTCTTTTAGGGATGCCACATTAGACATGAATCATTTCCCACGGTTTAGCAAAATATATTACTGGACAGCAACCACCCCCTCAGAAAGTAGGAAACCTGCCAGGTGGCAATGACTTAAACATTTTAATGAAGTTTCCAGCTCAGCTCTATTTTCAGATCTGTGAGGTGCCACATGTCTTCCAAAAGCTACTGTTTTCTAGTCTTTAACTTTTAATAGTTCAGTTCCTGCACACCAGAAACAAGAGATACTTCTATTCTCGGAAGGACATCATGGAAAAATGCCAAGTGGTATCTGCAGTATCAAACAAGTGGAAGAAGAGATTAGCACAGGATGATTCACACCATTCATATGATCATCCATTAGCCAGTTCCCATTCTTCAGCTGTCTGTACCCTCTCCCATCCCCTCTCCACGCCTCCAGTCTTTCTTGGCCACTTGTTCTTCACTCCCATGGTTTTCTTTTCCCCACCCTCCCTTTGATTTAATCCCTCATTCTCTATGCCTCTGTACTCAGCTTCACACACTGCATGAATCCAGACCTTCCATGCATGAACCTGGAATGAAATGCTTATAACAAAGAGTCAGACTTGCTTGTGCTTTTTGCTGAAAAAGTTTAGTTTGTCCCTGCAGTGAGTTTTTTCCCACAATAATTGAATGTTTGCTTTGCATGGAGGAAAGAAAGAGGCTGCTTGCTTATGAAGATTGGGAAAGAAGAACTCCACTGAACCCTCCCATTCCCCCAGCACATAACAACTCGCTGAGAACACAAGGCTGTTGATTAGGGTTTTCAGTCTGGCAAACAATAAATCACAGAGCCAGCATAATGGGCAGACACATCACAGTTAAGGAACATGCCTGCAGAGTGTGAATCTGGTGCACAGCGTGCTCACTGTTCAAGCGCTTACCTCCTTAATGCTGCGGGCAAAGTTCACGGAGCAAAAATGCCAGCAATAGGGTGATGGCTGCCCAGGTGACAAGGCAGTCAGCTCAACTCCAACATCTGCTCTCTGAAGAGAAATTTTTTATTTATTTAGTGTCATGTTGATTGGCTTTCACTGATGCTGTCTCCCATGAAATGCAAGTCTCTGATGTCTTTCCACTGGCCATGCTGCTGTCTGCGTCAGGGGAGGCTGCAAGGGGCAGGGAATGGGGAAGAAGATGAGCATGCTCAGTCCTCCGATATGCCTTCTTTGTCATTATAGCCATTTCGAGTTACTTCCCATTGCTGTTGGTGGCCCCTCCCCAGTGTTCTCCTTCCCAGCTTCTCCCAGCTTCCTCTGTCTGTCCTGCTGCTCCCAGTGGCAAGTCTCAGACACTGTCTGGAGCAACAGCAGCTCGTGGGAATCAGTCTCTGTTCCAGTATCACAGGAACAGCCTCTGGGGCAGGTTCTCTTCCCATGCTGACCTTATTATGGCTTCTGTACTGCTCATTGGTAGCCAAGAGACCAGCAGCATCCTGCCTTACCAGAGTGAGGGCTGCAATCAGAGCCAGGCTCTCTCTGGATATTCCCTCTGGCCAAAGAAATTACTAATTCTTTTCTTCATAGGGGCACAGATTCATGTGGAAGGTGGAGTAACTCACAGATCAGTGGTTAAGTTAGCCTTCAAAAAAGACAGGAGATATGGAAAGGGAGCCATTAATGCTCCCAGGCAAAGTAGTGGGCCAAGGATTGCGACTCTGGGGCATTTCTGTTAAAAGAAGGTAATGGTACCACAGCAACTACAACACGACTTAAGTGGAATTAGCAGCCGCCATGGTTGTCCCATTGGTGTACGAGAGGGAGACTTCCTGGAACAGACCACCAAAGAGAGTTTGACAGGAAAAAATCTGTTTCTGGTGAGGTACAGAGTAGTTTGCATGAAATAGAAAACAATATGGAACCCTCAGAGATATAACAATGCCTTGCCTGTATCCTATCCCAGTCTTATAAAAGAGCACAGAGCCTTCTTCCATGCCATAAGGACCTCCTGCTGTTGTACAGGCCCTACCTGAAGCTCACAGTTGCAGGTACGGCTGTTCAGCTTATGCACTGGGGTTGTGTCCTATCTTGTAATTGTTTTTCTCCCATATGAGATAGCCTCTACAGCATCAACTTTCCTCTCTCTGTATGCTTTCTCCTGCAGCTGCCTCCAGCCTAACAGACTGTTATGTATCTATGTGACATGGGCCTACCTTGCAACTCCGCTTCTGGAAAGAGTTGCAGAACTGCTTAACACTCTTGGACATTCTTTGAAGTATATGGCATTCAGCAACACACATGAGCTGCAAACATTCTTGGTTTTGTCCCTTAAATCATTAATGAATTAAAAATTAGCAATACCAACAATGGCAATTACATGTCTGTAATTGCCATTGAATGGCACTGAATGCCATATGTAGCATTCAGTTATTGGCAGAGGGGGTTGTACATGTCAGTGAGAAATTTAGCACCATGATGTAAATATCTACTTAATATATTAGTACACAGTTTATTCTACAACATGAAGCCAAGCCTATAATTAGCTTGGGTTTCACATTTGTAGCTCACCTGGACAAAGATGAGGTTGGTCCTGAATAAATCTGCGTATTTCTCACTGACCTGACATTTTCTGGCATCACCCAGTTCCAAAATTACATCTATGACTGTCTGGTCACTGTGTGATCCTCAGAAGTTCTGAAATTCATTACAGCTTCTGTCCTTTTGTAGCTTTTATTTTTATAATGAAAGCAATTAATAATTTAGTATTTTGATATCCTCACATCCATATCCTTTGTGGAATGTTCATGAAATCTGTTGAAAGACACATTCAGCATTCCCAGCATTCATTCAGTTTTGTAAGGATGATCTGCTGCAATCACTCAATCTGTATGCCTACCAGAGGCCTTCTGAATGTAAGCAGTTTTTCTTCATTTCTGCATCCACAGCTGCTGCATTTGGACTTGTTCTCATTTGCTGTAGGCTAACATTGTGCCACTCTGCTATTATTGCTGTACTTTCCATCACCTTATAGCATTACAGCATTACAGAGTCATAGAAAAGTTATCTTAAATATATCTGCTTGACAGTTTGGGTTCTGTTATACCAGTGTGTTTAGTAACATTTTAGACACTAGCAAGGCTTAATATTGTCCAGAAGTTTAGTATATTAAGAGGAAGACTTGAGTTAGATTTACCTGGGCTCTATTTTTAGGATTAATGTATTTGCAAGTAAATGGGACTTTCTGACTTCTCCCATAGAATCATTACAAGCACAATTAATAATAGATGCATAAGTAAAAATAATACCAGACATAACCATTTATTTCTAGTACAATTAATTATTAAAAAATTGAGTGTTTGGGTGTATTAATTCTCAGGAATGACTGCTATTTTCCACATCTATGCAGCATTATCATAAATATTTTTGGAGTTTACAAAATCAAAGACCTATGTTACATTTTTTAAGCCCTGTTTTCTATGCAGGCAGACAAAATTGCCACAGCTTCCAAGATTTAAATGCAGCATGCATACTCTTAAAACATCTGTAATAGTCTTTGAAAACCAGTTAACCGAATCATTTCATTTGGTTCTGAAAACATGATCAGAAAGTGAAGAGATCTGGAGGTTGATCACTGTATGTCCAGTGAGAGGATGCAGGTTAAGGAGCTTGAAAATGAAAGGCAAATGATCCAAATAATGCAGTGCACTTGGAGTTCAGTAAGATTTTTCCAATGATTTTCCTTAGCCTTTAGCTTCCTGTAGGAAGTCACACTTTCTAAACTGTTTGGTCTGGTACCAGCAGAGATGTACCTTTAGGCACGAAGTCCTCGATTCTCATTTACTTCTTTTTCATGGGGATTGTATAGCTGAAAAATGCTCTGAACTTCTGCTCTGCTCAGGAAAAAAACAAGGATGTTTGGATGGATGGATGGATGGATGGATGGATGGATGGATGGATGGATGGATGGATGGAAGGATGGATAGTTGAGCTAAACATTTCACCCTGTACTTGAAAGCTAATGGAAAACACATTCTGTGGTTGTAACAAATTAACAGAATAGAGCAACCTAGTTTTATATATCACAATCTTATTATTTCCTGTTTTTCTGGTGAGTTTTGACTTGGCAAGCAAGCAGACTTGTGCACAGATGAGGAATGTGTTTAGCTTAGATTTGTCCAGAAAAGAAAATCTTGGAAGATCTTTTTGCTTGGATGGAAATTATGCATGCTACTCTGATGTTACTCTTTGGGATTCAGTTCTATCGTTATTTTTATAGCTGACTGCAACGTGCTAATATGATAGGGCCAAATCTCAGAAGAGTTAGTGAAGTCAGTGGGAGTTTTGATTGAGTAAAATTTAAACAGTATCTGAGTGAGGACATTAAGTTTGGTTTATCATGGAATTGTAAAATCATAGAATGGCTTGGGTTGGAAGGGACCCTTTATCACAAGATTCTCATCAGCACTCTAAAACCTTTATGCTCCGGGGGACGGGGATAGAATAGAAAAAGAAATTGAAATTGTGGAAGAGTCCTAAGCACTCTGTAATTGAGATGGCTTCTGGAGTGCATGCAGGTATCATGGGAAGCGGCTGTAAGGATGTCTCCTAATAACACCACCAAGTCACAGTGCAAAGGGCAATTCAGGGACAGAGCAGAGGATGGCATGTTAGAAATGCCACTGCAGTACACAGCCCTGCAGTCAGGGAGCAGCAAGGGCTAGCAGGTCAACATGCAGAAGGCAGCCAACATCCGCCCCAGCTGGCCTCTCTCTGTTATTTAGGTAAGAGGGGTGATCTGTAGAACAGGAGTTCAGAATGGTGGCTTAAAATGGCTCCAGCTCAAGCTTTCTTCTGTCTTGAGTCAGATTCGTTAATTCAATATGTTAGCTTTTAATTTAACATCCTGCTGTAGAAAGTATTGGTCTGGTTTGACTCTCTTGGACCTGACTCTTGCTTGTACTTTTGCAGCATAACAGCTCCTTTCAGCAGTACAAATTCTGTTCCTAGTGCCACTGCATTAAGCAATGGTCTCAGTTGCTATCTCAGTTGCTTTTTAAATAGTTGTACTTTTCAATGGATTTCAGGCCTTTGTAGCCAGCAAGTGTGACCTAAATGGACTGAAAACCAGCATACCAACTAAAGGAACATTTACTATTTTTAAAATCTCTATTTTTAAACTAATCTCATGAAACATTAAGTTCTGTCTCTGGGGTTTTGAAGGGTTGTGATTCACATCGCTTCCCAGCTCCGAAGGTTGAGAACCATTCAGTGTTCCCCTCTCCTTGAAATCTCCATGAACTGCATAGATTAGTGTATATTACTATGACAGCTTTGTAATCCGGACTTCCTTTCATTAGAAGGTGAAGCCACAGATGTTTCTTGCCTGACATTTCATAAAATAGACAGCTAAAAGTATAAATTCTATGCTTTTTTAGACCCTAATATTAATCTGGGTTGGCTGTCAGCCAGCTGGGTATTTGTGTGGCTCTCTGTTTAATCAGCTGTCTTCTGAACGCTCTTCAGCCACACACATTTGCACTCCTACATCGTGGTTAAAGAAAGTAATTCAGGAATCTGAATGTGAAATTTTGAATATTAAAATGGTGCTTGTTTATACTTCCGACTGATAAACCTTCCTTAAGAGCAACGTGGATACTGGCTTACACCAACATATACACATATTTTTCACGATGACAACACTCAAACGCTGGAAACAGGTTGCCCAAAGATGCCTCCATCTTCAGAGGTCTTCAGGACCCAACTGGATTAAACCCTGAGTTACACAGTCTGATCTTGTGGCTGACTCTCCTTTGAGCAGGAGACTGGGCTTTGGGCTTCTTGGCATCCATTCCAACCTTAATTATCATTATCCTGAAAGTCTAGGACTTTACATTGGATAGAGGAACCTTTACAGTGGGGTTTCGGGACTTCTGCCGTCAAATAAACAGACTCCATACTGCCACATTGTAAGTCCTGCCAATGAAACAAATATAATGCACTGCTTTTCTTTGAAATTAGAGTGTTCAGGATAAGCTTAACTAACAATGCACAGAGTGTAAATACTTTACAACACACACATCAAGATACACATTCAGCTTATTTTGTCCCCCTGAAACTCATGGGGGGAAATATCTTAGTCTTTCTAGTTACTAGAACTGAAAATTCTGCTCTCTGTATGGCTGTGAATTCTTTCTGTGTA